GAAAAAATAATTGAATCTTTGAATGTGATAAAAAGCAATCAATTGCCCAACTAAATAGGATACATTAGGATAAGATTCCAGAGACTACCAATTCCGATAAAAAAACTCTCACATCGTAAACATGTTATATTCATATTCATATCTGAACACAACAATACACATCAACAAAGCACTCCCAACCGGCAAAAAACTCTACAAAACTTTAAATTTATACACTACCAAAACCTTAATATTTACTTTTACATGGCCCTAGTATTCTCCCATATCTTCAAGTTAAATCATTCGCTCCGCCACTTATTATCCATGGATGTCCTGCACAATTATTGCTTCATCAGTCGGTTAATAAAAAAAATAGGTAAAACATAAATCAGTAGAGTAATAAAATTGGATTATATTTACGAGAAAGATAATTATTAATATCATATGAGATAAATAAAATCGAATAAGATTTTAAGAATACTGAAAGAATGCAATTTTTGGGTTTTACCTTTACTGAGAAAACCAAAATAATATTAGGAAAAGTGTGATAAATGAAGCCTACAATTTTCACATTATACAAAACAAAAATGCAATTTGTATACTTACGGAGCACTTGTTCGGCGGAGAATCGTCTAGAAACCTCCTTACAAAGCATTTTCCTTAGCAAATCCTTAGCCATAGGTGAAACCGACTGAAACACCTGAGTCGGAAACCGGAGATTCCCTCTCAAAACGGCCTCGAAAGTTTCCGTAACCGTATCCCCGTAAAACGGCGGAAATCCCGCTAACATTATGTACAAAACAACACCGGCGCTCCATATATCCACTTTCTCATTATAATCCCTTCCCGCCACCACCTCAGGCGCCACGTAGTACGGTGTCCCCACCACTCCTCTCATCAGCTCCTCGCTCTCGTTGTTAAAAAATTCAGCCGATCCAAAATCTGAAATTTTCACAACATTTCCGGACGAAAACAGTATATTGTCCGGTTTTATATCGCGATGAACAATCCCTAACTTGTGCATGTGAGAAATGGCTTGAAGAAGTTGAGTGATTATAGATTTGGACTCGGATTCTGACAGAATGCCTTTGTTCATTAAGTGGTGATACAGATCTTGTGAATCGCAGAGTTCGAGAACCATGTGAAGGTGATAATCGTCTTCATAAACGGCGAAGATTTGAACGATGTGATGATCTGGAGCAAGGAACTGGAGGATTTTGGGCTCTGATAAGAGACATTGGGAGTCGAGCGTGTCGCCTGAGATTAAACTCTTGTCGATGGATTTGACGGCGAAGGATTCGCCGGAGATTCGTGAGGTACACCTAAAAACGGTGCCGAATCGTCCCCGGCCGATCTCTTCACAAACTTGGTAGTCTCTGTTCAACGCCTCGGTCATGAGTCAACTTGATTAGTGTGTTTTTTTTTGTTTTGCCTTGTGATTTGGTGTTTTTAACTTTTTATTAAGCTGATGGTTTAAAGAATGTTTTCGGAATATTCGGTTTTGACATATGGCCAATGGTCGTAAACCATGTGTTTGATCCAACGGTTGAAGATAGAGATACGGTGAGGTAAAAAGCCGTTAGATTTGAAACAGGGTCGGTTGTTTTTTGAATTACGAGTTTGCCATTGTTATGTTAGTTGATAGGTGACTTGTGAGAGAAGAAATTGAGACGTGGACTCCGTACTGCTGCAGTCCTTCCGTGAAAGTCGGTCAGGTGTATTTCGATAGAGTATCGTACAAGATTGAAGAAGCGTTTATTTATAACATCTTTGCCCAAGTTTTAGGTGGAAATTACAGTAGTTGCCACTGTTGAGATGAAAACGCTTTTCTTCCTTGGCTGAAATTTTCACTTGCGTTTTACGCGTGAATATTCTAGATAGAACTTATTCTACCTTATATAAATTTTATGAGGTTATAAAAAAATAAAAAAAAAATGAAAAGATTGGGGAGGGGGGGGGGGGGGGGGGGGGGGAAAGATGTTATTTTTTTTATTTTATTTTTTTTGTGAATTAGTGTTGATCAAATCCATTATCACATTATCTTATTTAATTTTAAAATTTTATAGAAAACCTTATTTAATGTAATACCATTTTTATTTATAATAAAATATACTTAAAGTCATATTTTATTAAATACGTTAACTACTTATCAGTTACTTATAAGTACTTAATCAAACACGTAATTGATTAAAATTCAAATGCTTATAAACTAAAATTAACTTATAAGCATTGTTGCTATAAGCTAATTTTTAAATTGATCTGTTATTTATAGTTTTTTAAGCTTATAAGTTAACTTTTAAGTCCCAAAAAATTAAGTTGGGAGGAGAGATTTTTTTTTTTTTTTGGCTTATAAATACTATGCTTATAAGCTAGTTTAACCAAGTATATTATTACATTATCTTTATTTAATTTTAAAATTATAGTATACCTTTGTTTTATATAGTACCTTTTTAGTTTTTTTAATAAATAATACTTATAAACCATATTTTACTAAACACGTCAATTACTTATCAGTCACTTATAAGTATTCTAATCAAACACGTAATTGTTTAAAATTTTAAATGCTTATAAACACTTATTAATTTTTATAAGCTCAAACAAACCACCCCTAACTTATATAAATTATTTAATAACATGACATGATTTTTTGCCCGCACTTGAATCACTCGAATAAAATGAAATGGCCAAATTGATACGGTTGGCAATCCAGAAAGCCATCATTGATATCCAGACAAAGAACGTGAATTTTAAAGAATAATTTGAGACCGAAAGGCCTTGGAAAATCAGTAGCCAAAAGAAATTTATAAGTTGTAAAGATTGATTTTCTTGTTTTTTAATTGAATTTTGAATGGAGCAAAGAGCTAGTTAAAGATTTGTGAATCATTTTGGTAGTGGGGCTATGATACGGCTATTGAGTCCGGACAATCTAACGTACAAAAGTAAAAAGCAAAAAACAATCGCGACCGCTCAGTGCTTTCAAGATTTGGACCACTCACCAAATTAGTACAAATATCTAATTTTATTATTTTGGATACGTTTTTTTTTGAAAAAGTAAGAGATAAGTAAGATTTAAAAATTTATAAAAATACTCTCCTAAGTTTATTAATTTACTAAACACTCCTATAATAAAAACATTAAAAATTAACAAAAATACTCACATCCACCCATTAATTATCGACAACTGGTTACCATCGTCAGAGGATGACTGGAGTCGTCATATCGACACATGATCGACTGAATTTGGTTGATTGTGCACCAATATGACATTTTCTAGTTAGATTTACCATAGATGTGGTCAGAAAATATCAAATCTACGGCTAGATCTGACCTTTGGTACTCAACGACAGCTAAAGATATGGTCTTTGTTGACGATTAGCTACGGCCAAAGATCTGGCTGTCAACGACCAGATCTGTGGCCGTAGATTTGACATTTTCTGGCCAGATCCACGGTAGATTTGACTGAAAAATGCTAGATCGATGCACTACTAGCCAAATATAGCCGGTAGTGTGTCATTATACCAGATTTCGACCACCTGTCGGTGGTGGTGGCTGGAATTTGACAAATATGGATGAGTGAGGGTGTTTTTGTCAATTTCTAAATTTTTTTTGGGTGGTGTTTAGTTAAATTAACAAACCTATAGGGCTTAAAAATAATTGAATAAAATATAAAAATGAAAACAAATGTGTATTTTGAATAGAATAAGGATAAGATAATGCAAAAATACTGAAACAAACGCACGCTTAATTTTTTGGTTACGGTTCTTTTGAATTTAACCCAAAGTGTGGTTTTATATTATAAGGGTGGTCCAACTGTATCTTTTGTGTTAGAATTTTTGTTATCGGATTCTATGGAGTTTTGGTTGGTTACATTTCTCATTCATAACCAAAGCAAGAGCAAGAAACAAATTAAGTGATCCACATACAAACAAATTCAATCTGGTTTGGCTTCTTGGAAATTTAAGGTTTGCAAAAACAATTTCAAATCCTATTGATTTCTCTAAGACAGTTGATTTTGGATGAATGAACAAATATCTGATTAATTAAACAAATAGAATCGAATAAGTTTGATGATGAGTCATTCAATTATAGTACTATATTTATTTATATGACCTATACTAATTTAATAATTTGCATGCACACATTGACAGCATTGTGTCATGTCGATCATATGTTGTAACCTGGGGCGGCTTTGTTTTAAACCATACATCATTCTAATTAATCCAAAATTATAATCACAATAATTATCTCCACCTCTCTACTCCTTACAAGTTTTGTTTAAACAACTTTGACTCAAGACAGACAGTGTAGGTAAGTTTGGGTGTGTTTGTTTTTATTATTTTGGTTGGATTTTTAAAAAAGTAAGAGTGTGATAGTTATTACGACGTAAGATTTAAAAATTAACAAAAATACCTTCTTAAATTTGTTAATTTACTAAACACTTATTAATAAAACATTAGAAATTAACAAAAACACTCTCACCCACCCACCCATTAAATACCGATAACTAGCCACCATTGCCGAAGGGTGGTCGAAGTCGCCGTATTGGCACACGATCGACTGGATTTAGCTGGTCCTGCATTGATATGACATTTTCCAACCAGATCCACTGTGGATTTGGCCGCCTTTGATCATCAACGACGGCCAAAGATCTAGCCTTTTTCGACAAGATTGACGGTAGATCTAGCCACAAAAAGTTAGATCGACGCACTACTGGCCAGGTCTAGTGGTAGTGTGCCGTTCTACCAGATTCCAGCCACCTGTTGGTGGTGATAATTGAAATCTAGCAAATGTGGGTGGATGAGGGTCTTTTTTGTCAATTTCTAAACTTTTTTTAGGAGAGTGTTTAGTTAAACTAACAAACCTAGGAGGTTTAAAAATAATTAAATAAAATAGAATAAGATTTTCAGAATAAAGAAACAAATGTGTATTTTAGATAGGATAGTGCAAAAATACTTAAACAAATTGTGTTCGAATGCTGAATTCTAGTGATGTTCAACCAAAACAGTAGAGAAAGCATCCAAAAGGCGCTTCGTTATTCTCTAGAGTAATTATATTTATAGTAGGATGAGGTTTCAGCAAAATCCAGCTGCAATTGAGCCAATTTCCACTTATTTACAATAAAAAGTTCCTTTTCAATTTGAAACTTGGAAACATCAAGACAGCGCTTCTCTACATCTTTGAACTATTTTAGGTTTCATTAGATTTTACATACATACATTGAATCAAAACGAGTCGAATATGTTGAAAATCTTACCTTTGATGAGATTCCAGGCCCTCTGGTTAGTCTTAATGTCATGTAGTAGGATCACTAGAAGACCAATGGACTCAAGTTTTGCAGCTTCCCATGTACGATAAAGAATTTGAAAATTCTGGGAAACCTAAAATTTAAAATGGCAAAGTAACTGTGATTACTTACCTCCTTTGCCTGAACTCTGTTCCATGTCAATTTGTGCTAGCCATGGTCGCTTGAGCTCAGAAGACTCATACTCCGGTGAAGGCTTGACTTCTGATGAAGAACAAGACTGGGGAACAGAAAAAGAAATGTTGCTTGTGCTCTGCTTCTTAGCTGCTGAAGATTCAGCTGTGGAGCACAAATCTTCATCCGCTCTTGCGTTCCCAGCTTTCTTGTTGTGATTAGGCATTTCATTTTGGTATGGCCTTTCTTCTTCCACATCTTTTGGTCTCTTCCTACAAGGCGGACTATTCTTGCCAATTTGAAATGAGGGCACCCTCTGATCATTAGATGAAATAGTAGGACAAGGAGTCTTTTCCCTTGTGGCAACTTTTTGAATGGCAGAAGTTTGAATACAATCAGAATTATCGATAACAACTTCATTTGTCTCACTTGAGTTTGTAGCCCTGGCTGCAGCTTCCATTTCCCACATTTTGAATATTGCTTGGGTTAAACGTTCTCTCGCTAAGTCTAAGTCTATCATGGGTTTCGGATAGTTTAATCCCAACTCAATCCCAGCAGCTTTAAGAACAGTAACGGGTGCGTCCCAAGGATGATGGATCCATTCAGTCGGCATTCTAGCTAGCTCAGGCAGCCAGTGTCTCACATACTCACCTTCTGGGTCAAATTTGGACCCTTGAATCTGACTCCCAAAAAATTCAAAATAATGAGGTACAAGCACAAGACTCTTAAAACAACTGTCTCAGTTAATAAAATTTAAGCTCTCAATATCATCAGCTAAAATGACTCCATTCCACGAAACGAGAGATATCCAGACTCTGTACGATCATAAATGCATTTTATTTTCTTTCAGCAACTAGTGAATTCCATATTATGCAAGGGGGAGTTTTCAAAGATATTATTTCAAACATCATAAACATTTTTAGCATTCACTCAAGTTCTTTCTCCTATTTCTAGTTCCAATGTTGGGGGGTATTTCAACATTTCATGTAGATTGGATCAGCTATATCAATATGCATAATGTCATAACACATGTTCATATGATATATGGTAAGGAAAAAATTAGCCACTGAGATCAATAGTGATGACAATAGAAACATGTACCTCAATTTACATATGGGTTAGGATACTAAGACTTAAATTCTTGACTTAGATTTTTGACACCATTGTTCAAAACTCAGAGAACCGCATCAGATTACCACTAATTCTTCTGCATAATCATCAGTAAAAGATCAAATCTGACATACCTCTGGGTTATCTAATCGTTCAAGTTCATGGCCATCTGGTAAGCTGCCAGAGATATACTGCCAACCAAGGATATCACTTTCCAAATCCGCATCCAAAAGCGTGTCCCAGAAATATTTCATTCCCCATCTCCACGGGAGAAGCAGAAACTTCACAGCAAAACTTGAAACAATCACTCTTATTCTGTTGTGTATCCAACCTGTCGCCCAAAGCTCCCTCATTCCAGCATCCACCAATGGGTAACCAGTCCGACCCTGTCTCCAAGCCTTAAAATTGCCCAGGTCAGCATGCCAAGGAAAATATTTCAAACTGCTCAACAATGATCTCTCATGAGTGAATGGAAAGTTAAAACAAAGATAACGGGAGTATTCCCTAAGCCCCATGGCCCGAAGAAAAAGGACCACGCTGTCTTTCCCTTCTAAGTTCGCTTCTTTTGTCCATAGTATCTGCTTCATTCGCACACAGTGGAAAACTTTCCTCACACTTAGCTCTCCAAAATGAAGATATGGAGACAAAAGAGAAGTGGCATTCCCTCCAACCTTATGCCTGTTCTTTGAATAGTGGAGGAGGTGCTGATCAACAAACTCAGTCAGAGCTTTGTCAGCATTGCTCCAACCAGGAGACCATCCTCTTCCTAATAAGGCATTACTGGATTTTTCAGATTCATTTTCAAGACCCAACTCCTCAACAGAACATTTCTCAACTGTTCCTGTCATAAACAAAGAAAAAACTTCTCAACTACTCATTCTTACTGACCTCCATATATAATTTTCGCATGCACACATTTGTAGCCAATTGGCCCAATTCATTCTCCCTGTTCTGCACAGGCATGAACATATTTGTGCAAACATACATGCATGTCCTTCATTTTGCACTTGTGTAAGTTTACAGTTTAGTGGGGCAAGTTATCTCAGATTAAGACCAGGACCATGATGTTGCTATTTTATTTTTGTGCAATTCATAGAACAAGCTGAAAACTTCTCCATTATTCATTCTGCTTGTTCGGATATGTTTCCATTATATATTCAAGCATGTGCTTCACATTAACTCATTCTTGCTAACCTTGACAGAAATAGATAAATAGATTTATGCACATATCTTGCATTGTTACTTCATAATACTTAAGCATACGATTTCCAGGGCCAGGTTAAATTTTGAGGCTCTGAGCCAAAGACAAGGATCATATTGTGGCCACCAAGTATATTATACAAACTAAACTAAACAAACAAACATACATACAAATAAACCCATACATATAACTTCTTGGGTAAGATATAATACTAGGCATAAAACATACATCCATAATGGTACACCAAATATATTGTACAAACAAAAGAAATCTGTCCCTTTAACTAGCATGAAGGTAAACTAGCCCCAAATAAACAGTGGATTTTGTTACTAAGAACCAGATTAAAATACCTTACATACTATTTATATTTACCTGCCGCTGGCACTAAACGCCATGGAGGAAGAACTGAAACAGGTTCTGTTTGCATGTGCAAACATTTGTCCCAATAGGCATCAAAAGTTGTAAAAGCATTCCCTCTTTCATCATATATTTCCCAAGGTTCATACAACAAATCACCATTATAGCTCTGTACTGAAATTCCAAGCTCCAATAGTTTTTCTTTGATGCTGTGGTCACGAACAAGCGAGACAGGATCTGGGATAAAAAAAAGAACAAAGATTAAAAAAAAAGACAAAAATATCAACAATCAAAATATCTAATTAGATTTTGAAAAGAACAAACTCCAGAAAATATCAACCCAAACATGTAACCCATTAAGGAATAGGCCATTCCTTCAAGATCCAATACAGAGCTGAACTCCAACTAACTAGAAGGGTTGTTCTGCAAAGATGATATTGCTCCAGCATAAATTTTGAGAATCTTGGGACATAGTTCTATCTGCTTTTGCTTCATAATGGAGGCATCATGTAGGCTATATCACACGCATACATATCAGTAATTGATTTAACTCAAAGCTTTAATTTTTCATTTTTTACTAAACATTGGCACAACCATACAAACTATAAGATCATGACTATAAATATCAAAACAAACGATCCTTTCCTTCATAGAGTGAAAGAGAATTTCTATGGCAAATTATCCCCCAGAAGCTTCAATTACAACAGTTCATGATCTTCTTACTAACAACTATAAGGATTTTCGATTCAACAACAGTCATTATGGTTCAATTTGACTGAAATTAGTAGAATTATGAAAAACAGAACAGCATATTACATAAAAAAAATCAGAGTTAAATATGATAACTAAATATTTAATAAACAAAGTTCATAAGAATAAAACTTGGTTAAACTGTCTAGAACATACCGTAAAGATGGTTGAATACTACTTTTGTCGCCTTTACCGCATTGATACACTCCAAAAGAGCAGCAAGAGTACTCTGGGTTTTGATCAACACAAGTTCAGCCCCAAGAGATTTTAGGGATTGCCCCAAGTGGGAAAGAGACTGCTTTAGCCACCACCTTGATACTCGACCGGGGTAGAATTGTCCTTCTTCTTTAGGGCACCATATATAGAGAGGAAAGACACTACCATCCCTTGCAGCAGCTGCTAATGCAGGATTGTCCTCAATCCTAAGGTCCCTTCTAAACCATACTATGGTCCTATTGCTATCCATGTTGAGTGACTCAGATCTTCCACTGAAAAAAAAAAGTACTAGATCGTGCAACACTCAGTAATTTCAACACGTGTTTCTTTCAGTCCAGAAGTGTGAATATCAACAAGGAAATCACTAGTAACATCTTCAACGCAACAACTTTATCCTGTTCAGTTCAAGAACACAAAGTAACCAAAAGAGGAACTTTGCAACCTGAGATTTTCCTAAAAGACCAAAAGATGCATACTTGTATCACCAGAAATTCATCCGGTCGTCACCAAAAACGCCAAAACTACCAAATTGAAAATCCCCCAGAAAGCTTTGGCAGTCAAAATTAGTTGTAGCCAATAAAGTCTGAAACAGCGAGCCTATGAAGCTGTGCCTCCACTTCGATGCTACTCTTTGTATCAAAGATATCCAACCTAAATCTAAATTCAATCAAACCTTCCGTACATGTCTGACCAATCCGAAATATCTCCAACTCATAGACCCTGATATTGAAATTCACTATCAGCAACCACAGAATCAAAAACTTCTACAAGAAGAAGCAACCCAAACAAACAAACAACTTCTTAAAAACTCCCAACACGACTCATGCAGTCTTCAACTGAAAATTCTATATACAACTACAAGATCAGACTTCATGTGAGCAGAGAAAATGGATCTGAAACACACCAAAATAATTCCTTAATAATTCACATCAAAGAATGTTATCCACAAACATGTACAACTAGATTACTAAATAAATATAAAATCTAAATCTAAAACGAATACAGAAAATCAAAGGGAAAGGTTAAACAGTTATAATATTGACTAGCTAAATGGAGCAATCTTACCTACTTCGCTATAACCAAAGCAACCCCACAAAAGAAAATTACTCAAGTTTGGTGTAAACGTTGATTGTGTAAATTTATTTAGATGATCTACAGTAACAGTGGTGTATATATAGTGAAAAGCATTAGAAATAATTGAAGTGGGATTGTGTTTTAATGAAGTAATTAAGAAGAGCGGTGTGGTGAGCTGATCTCTGGGCAAAGATGATTTGATAGTGGTGGGGGAAGGAGACATATCTTGTCTGCTGTGTGGATCCAAATCCAATGTAAAATAAGCAGATAAGATTCTCTCTCATGTTTGCATGAGACTTGTGAGTTATTAAACTCACCTTAGCCTCTAGAAGTTGTTAGCCGACTTCCATTAATTTATGAGAAATCCTATCTTTATAAAGACAATACAAATAAGGTAATAAAGTGATGTCAAAAAAAATATATATAAAAAAAAAACAGTAAAAAAAGAGAGAGAAAAAAAAAAGATAATAATTATCTTTGTATATCCATTTCTATTTGTCTTTATAAAACTTATACTGCTCTTAATTTATATTTTTATATTTATAATTTTTTTTTTTCTGCTGATTCTGTTTCCCTGTCAGGAAAGGTAGATTTGCTCACTTGTTTTTTTATTGTATTATTATATGTCATTTTTAGAAATGTGGTTTGAATACAGAACATTAACAAATTGATTAATTCATAACCATTAAGAAAAACGATCGTTAAAGTACAAATTCTGAACGACTATTTATGGTTGATATTACTCGGCTGGCAATACTCAAATTTCTCATTTTTGGCCTGAGGCAGAGAAGTAATTTGTTGCAAAGAACAGTTCAGTTTAAGTTACGAAAGAAAAGGCAAAAATTTTAACACATTTTTGGACCATATTGACTGGTGGTTGAGCATTGATAACGCCCATAAGCCACATGGATCCTTCCTTCTGGCAAATGAATGTCATTTATGGCACAGTAACCTAACACAACTTACTCATCAATTTAAGAAATGATAACTTCAAGGCGCAGGGGTAAAGAGCAGATAGATAATGGATTATTTGTAAAATTTGACAAGTGAAAACTCTGACGAGGATTCTTATTCAATATACGGATATACACCCACTCCAAAACCAAATGCACAAGCTAACTAATTCAAACACCTTTTCTAGGGTTGCAATCAACTCGTTATGTCATTCAGTTGGCTGCAACAAAAAATAAATAACAACATTGCTACACAAGAACTCTGGTGCTTTGTAGACCATTTCTCAAGAGTATGTGCAAAAATCCAGAACTAGGTTCAATTGGAAACTCTGAGGAAGATAGAAACTTAATTATATAATAGTCATTTCATTAACAAGAGTCAAACAGCATAAATGGCCATGAACATATCAAATTTCACCTGAGAAGCATCATGGCAATAAGGAGCCCAAGTCCTACACATCCAGATGCGTCAGCCATGAGCTCCTGATCAGCCTTCTCAGGTGCTGATTATTTAACAAACTATATGTACTATGTATAAACAATAGTGCAAATGCAGCAACTAATTGAAGCGGGAAAGATTGATCCTTTAGAATGCCAAGAACCCCAATGTTGTCTCTTAAAGATGCAAAGCCCTTTGCCTTGAGTTAATCAGTGTGCACGCTCTCTTAGCACCTCAAGATCCATCTCAGTTGGGTCAGTTGCCTGGATTTCATAGTGAATGCCCTCCAGAGCCCTCCTGAACCTGTCCTTAGTTGTTGCATATAGCATCTTGGCTCGGATTCGAGAAACAGAAGGAGACCTGAAAGGAAATATCAAATTAAAGGTTATAAGGCAAATAATTGCAGAAATAACTAGTAACAGAACATGCACCGGGTAAATTCAACATGATACTTTCTAATCATTCCGTAAGAGAATCAAAAGTTAAAAAGACAGTATAATGGCTATCCACTTTGATATCATGAAGATTTTAGAGTGCATTTAACAACATTTGGTCCAGAGGTACATTCTACGAGCAGGGATAAAGAAAAGCAAGCATCTGTTGCAACATAGTTATGTAGCAGGATCACAACTAATGAGCAAGCTTGCTAGAATGTTAATCATATTCAATCTTCTCACCATAAACCTCTTTTTTCTTTTTTTTTCTTTTTTTTTTTCATTTAACACCTGAATGAAACTGCCATAACCCACTCCTGAGCACAAAAGTTAACTCAAACTTTAACAAGAAGATCCAATGTTAGCTTCAAAGACAACTCTTTTCTATCCAACAACCCCAACAACTGCAAAATAACAAGTTGACCAATCAGATTTAAAATCAAAGACCT